AAAAATCAAAAAAAGGAAAATCGAATTGGAAAACAGAAACTTTAAAACCAAAGAAAAAACAAGAAAATCGGGCAACATAAATAGGGGGGGGGGTGGCGGCGAGAAGCTTCCAAGACTGATGCAAGCTTCCCAAAACTAGAGTACCCTACTGGATCGACCCACTTAGATCCCTTTTTAGGTGATTGATACATAAACACTTGCGAGGAGCGATGTATTATATCAATTGTGTAAGATAACACCTTTCTCAGTGATAACCTAGGCACCTTTTTTATTGGGCCACAATAGATATGTATCGAAAAGCTATTATGGTTTGTACATTCATATTTTTTGGTGCTATATATTGTTTTTGAAATTAGTTCATTAATACAAAATAAAGAACATGAATGGTTTCGAGCAAGTTGGAGAGAGGCCAATTGCACGTGTCCTTGAAATTGTTACAAAGTTTAGGTGGATGACAATAGTTTTGTGTAGAGAAACAATGTGAAAATCAATGGACAACAATAAAATTTATAGAACTTTGCATTCTAAATACATGTTAAAACTACATAGCGTGAATGTGGTAATGGCTACCAATTCACCCCGCAAGAATAAGAAAGGAAAATTTCACTAAGAAACAAGCACCACCAACAACCGAAAGTGGGAGAGGGGATCTTGATACACTTTAGAGTTATCTATTTTTTTACATATGACTTGATAGCTTTTTGATCCACAAATCTTTGCCGGGTTATTTGCTAGATTTGTAAACCTTTAAAACATTATACCAAGTGTTATAGTTATTTAACGATATTATGCAGAATGATGCATATGTACACACTATAGCATATTAAAGGGGCATACCTTAATTTCTGGAGTAATATGATCTTTGTTTTCTTAGACCTATGGTAAAATACTCCATAGAAAAAAAATCTTCAATAACCAAGAGTAACATTCTTTTACAACAAAACATAGTGTCACTATAGGAGTAGAAACTTATTGTAATGAAAAATATTAGAAATGCATGGAAAATTTGCAACACAACATTCTTTTACAACAAAACATAGTGTCACTATTAATATTGCTACTTATGTCGGAAATATAATACAATATAGTATATCGAGGGATGTATCAATAAACCCAACATAAATTTGTAAGCTGAGTTATAATGGACTAAAAAAGTTTAGCATAAATATGAGAGACCATTTTTAACTTGCTGACATTCAGCCCAACTTCTTCATAACCCGGTAAATCCCAAACTAGAGAATCATCTGAACCTCCTATCCAACTAGCTGAATTCATTAGTGGGCAAAAGAAGTAGCAGTTAAGTTTAATTTTGTAGCGGATTTGATCACATATGCTCCACCAGATAGCCCCTAACCTGTAAAAAAAACCTTCCACATGAGCATGTTTAAACTTCACACTCACTTGAGTAAACTCAATAGTAGGAAACTAGAGCTCCAAGGCGTGTTCGGGAAGCTACAGGGTCAAGTCCAAGGAGAGGCATTTCACTCGGATCTACATTGAGGGAAGGAATTTGGAGGCGCCACCGAGGATAACATAGGACTAAGCCGGAGGCGACATAACCTTTTCAAATAAACATCGAAGTGTTAAGTTCATTCATGTATGGCGACTTTTGCCATAAGGCCATACACCCACTAATATATTTTTCCCAAGTTATTTTTAAAAGCCTCTAGTCACTTGTTGTCCTCACTACACCGACAATATATATATATAGTAGGCAACGAGCTCAGGGGAGCCCGCTTGTAGGGTGGAACATTTTTTGGTGGATCTGATTTGTAGTGCTTTGGGCGACCATGTATGTTTCCTCCCAGATCCTAATTAACTCATAACTCGCTAGTTACCGCACACCTCATCATACGATATGTTAGGTAAGGGACCGGCCCATATATACTACAACTTTTTGCGGCTTTGGGAAGCTACTCGTTGGTTTTTTCTTTTTTCTTATCTTTATTTTTTCATTTCAAATTTCATAAAAAATCAAATTCATAACCTTTTTGAAAAATGCAAACAACTTTTATAAATTTGTGTTTTTTCTAAACTCATGAACAATTTTGAAAATTACAAACAAATTTCAAATCTATGAACTTTTAAAAAATCATGTGTTTTTTCAAAGTCATGTTTTTTAAAATTTGCAAAATTTACCAAATTTTGTTTAAAAAAAAATTGTTTGAACTTTTTGAAATTCATGATTTTTAAAAATCATAGCTTTTTATTTTTTGTTTTCAATTTGTGAAGAATTTATATTTCATATAATTTTTTAAATCTATTAAAAATTCGATAGCTTGTTTCTTTTAAATGAGGAGGTGTTTCTTTATAAGAACAAGAAAAAAAGAGGTGGGCCAGTGTACAATAGCAGATGAAGCGGCCGAGCATGAGCAATAAACTTGCTGGCCCAAAATGAGCATGTTGTTATCGCTAGTGTGTCAACCAGTGCCATAAGCGCTACAGAGGATCTCCCATTTTTCCTCCAACATATTTTCAAACAATCTATGTACACATGTTTGCGTAGAAACACTGGGCCTAGTTCAAGAGGCTTGGGCTTCTTGGGCTTAAATCGGCCCATCTTGAAGTTTAGTGTTGACCATTCTTGGGCCTTTATTTCTTCCGAATCAGTTTTCTTGCAATTTTCATTACTTTGATAAAATATAAAGACTTCGAGAACGTAACAAGGAATGAAAGGCAAAAAACGAGCTCGGTGCACTTATGGGAACCCATCAAATTTCAGTAGGGGCTTGAAAATGTCCAAGCTTCGACAAGCTAGCTTGAACCCACAAATTTCTGGTCAGGTCGTTGAGATGTGCTGCTCAAGTCTAGGTTTAGGATAGGCCACCCCAGCAAAACATGGTATCAGGAACACTACAACATATAGCACAAAGTCTGATTATGTGACTTCTAGTGCTCGAGGACTCCTCATTGCCACATTGAACAAAAGAGAACGCCTTCCTTGGTGTCAACCAGGGCACCTTATTTATTCTGGGCCACAATACGTTTGTATCAAATAAAAGAAAAGGTTATATATTCATTATATGTGGTTTTTGAAATAAGTACTTGAATATAAAATAAAGATAGGATTTGTTTCAAGCAATTTGGAGAGAGCCTAAATTGAATGTGTATTTGGAATGTCTACAAAGTTTTGTAGAGAAAAAAATATGTGAAAATCAAATAGACAACAATGCAATTCATAAACTTCGTATTACAAACACACATGCATGTTACAACATACTGAACATCAATGTGGCAATGGCTAACCACTTACTTGCAAGAATGAGAAGGGGAACTTTCACCAAAAAACAAGCACACTAACAAGCAAAACTGGAATAGTGGACCCTACATGCACTCTAGAGTTATCTATTTAGCAACGCATGCACTTGGTCATTTTGTGATGCAAAAACATCTGTTTGGCTATTTGCTAAATTTGTAATCTCTAAAAAACTTCACTAAGCGTCATAGATATTTAAGGATATTTTAAATAATGATGCATACAAACGCACGATGGCATAATAAAGGGCCATATATTAATTGGTCGAGTAATGT